TCGTGAAGGACGAAATCGAGAAAGGGAGACTCGAGCTATCTTACTGCCCCACGTCCGAGATGGCAGCAGATTACTTGTCCAAGAAACTCGGAAAGCAGAAGTTCGAGTACTGCATGCTGCTGACCGGACATGGCCACGTCACCAGCAACGAAGGCGATGACACTCCAGAAGCGAAGGGGAGTGTTGGAAACATCTAGTTCGCGCTTTTGAAGTGTCGAACACTACAACGTAAGCGAAGGGAACTACAACGAAGTAACAGCGAGTCAACCAAAACGGTTGACAAGAAGACGACAGCAAGAGGTTAAGTGAAGGTCAAAGGTCAGCGACCTTTGACTCGCCGAAAAGCAGCGCGACAGCAAGGACACATAACTGACTCGCTATTGAGCAGTTACCCGAGTCCTCGCTGTATCGAACCGCAACAGCAGTTACAGTTAAACCTTTCGTATTCCTTGTAATCATATAAAGTCTTGTATCTTTTTGCTATAATCAACTTATCTTGTTCTCACATACTAGTGCAAGGTGGTTCAATTAATCCACTAATACGCTTCCGCTAATACATCACTACTCTGAGACTTTAGTCTTGAAGAACGATCCTAAGGGCTTTCTCAGCCCAACACTGCTCTGTTCGGCTTCAATGAGGGAAACGACAACTGCCAGACTCATCTGCTCCTGTAGCGGAAATTATCTTTATCACTACCACTCACTGCCACTGCCACTAGCACCCCCACCTTGACCACCACTGATTGCTGCCCTCGGTTCGGCCTCCATGAGCGAAATGACAACCGCCAGATTCATCTGCTCCCATCGGTGAAACGGTCATCATAACTACCACTCACTACCACTCACTACCACTCACTACCACTCGCTACCACTGCCACTGGCACCCCCACCACTAAGTGCTGCCGTCTGTTCGGCCTCCATGAGGGAAAGGGCAACGGCCAGATTCATCTGCTCCTCGAAATCATCCGGCACTGATAGAGGCACTCCCAGCGGCGCAAGCAATGGGGACGCATCTGCAGATGCATGAGCATGGGCATGTGCATGGGCATGGGCATGTGCATGGGCATGGGCATGTGCATGTGCATGGGCATGTGCATGGGCATGGGCAGTCGAAAGCACAGGTGCAGATGAAGATGCAGCACAGGTCCCTTGTCTTGATGACCGTGCTTCTGCAGCTGCTGCAGCTAAAGCTCTCTGCTCGTTTGCAAGCCGGCGCTGCTGCTCTTGCCTGCGTGCTGCCCTCTCTGCTACCCTTTGTTCTTTTGCCCGTGCTTCAGCTCGTGCCTCTGCTACACGTCTCTGCTCCTCTAAGAGCCGACGCTGCTTTTCTTGCCTGCGTGCTGCTTCTCGTGCTGCCCTTTGTGCCTCTGCTCGTGCCTCTGCAGCTGCTGCAGTTAAAGACGGCTGCACATACTGCTGATGCTGCTGCTGCTGCTGCGGCTGCTCCTGCCGGTACAGCTGAAACAACTCATCTGCTGATGGCGATTCTGACAATCGTGCTGCCAATCGTTCTGGCAATCGTGGTTTCACTCGTGCTACCCCGTCCGCTGCTACGTGTGCCGGCAGTGGCACTTGCCCTCCGGCTGCTGCTCCAGTTGAGACCCTCTGCCTTGGCTGCTGATGCTGATGGTGGTGGTGCTGCTGCTGGTACTGCTGCTGATGATGCTGGTGATACTGCTGGTGCTGCTGGTGCTGCTGCTGATGATGCTGGTGATGCTGCTGCTGCTGCTGGTGGTGCTGCTCGCGCTGCTGCTGCTGGGAGGGCGGAGCGAGGAGAGGGGAAAGGGATACAACATAAGAGACCAAACAAATAAGAGGAAGGATGAGAACGGCTTGCAAGGAACGATTGTAAACAGGCGACACAGGTAAGGACAGACAGTTGTTTAGTCCACTGAAAGGATGGAGTGCGAGAGCGTCAGGGTCTTACTTGCAGTGAGAGCCAGATGGCTTGGCGGAGCATCAACTCCTCTACATCCTCTTCCATGTCCTCCGCTCTGCTCGGGGAAGACGAGAAAGAGGAAGACAGGTGGTATGTGAGGGAGGGAGGTGGTATGTGAGGGAGGTGGAGGTCCGGAGAGGTGGGAATAGGTAGAGGTGCGGAGAGGTGCGAAGAGGTAGAGGTGATGAGGGGTGGAAAGAGGTACATGATCAGTTAAAAAGAGATGACCGCGAGATACAGTGAGCTCCTCAAAGCACGCGAAAAAGTGGTGGGATAAGGAGGTGACAGGGAAAACGAAAATGAGAAGGACAACAAACGGAAAGGGAAAGGAGGATGGCAGAAGGGCAAGGCAAAGAGGGTGCAGGAACTCACAAGTCGCTTGCAGATACGGTCCGTGCCAATGCTGGTGGCGCTGCTCCTGCTGCTTCTTCCCCTGATTCTGCTGCTTCTTCTGCTTCTGCTGCTGCTTCTGCTTCTGCTGCTGCTTCTGCTTCTGCTGCTGCTGATGATGATGTTTGCCCAGCCAGCCGTGCTGAGTGCGCCCCTGCGGCCTCAACCTGCATTCTTATCATCGCCTCCACTGCCCTCTGCTCCTCCTGACCCAGAGGGGGGCAAAGGAAGCAGAGGAGGAGGGCGGATGGGATGGAAGCGGTGGGTTTGAGAGTTTGAAACGCCTGAAATCATTGCTCCACACCCTCCGCTCTGCTCCTCACACCAGCAGCAAGATCAGAAGCAAAAGCATCAGGAAGAGCAGAAGCGAGAGCAGCAAGAACAGGAAGAAAAGCAGCAGGAAGAGCAGAAGTGAGAGCAGCAAGCGCAGGAGCAAAAGCAGCAGGAAGAGCAGAAGCGAGAGCAGCAAGCGCAGGAGCAAGAGCAGCTGCCGCAGCAGCAGCGACAGCACCAGGGGGGGCACACCAGCAGGTCGGCATGTCTCTCTGCTGCTGTGCGCTTGCCTCGATGCTCCACAGAGAATGCATCCGTGTTGCAGAATGGGCAGCTGCGAGGAATGAGGTGCGGGAGGGGGGGACAAGGGAAGCAAGTACATGTCACACGAGGCTGCATGCCACCAGCTCGGTGCTCCACAGAGAAAGCATCCGTGTTGCAGAAGGGACAGCTGCGAGGAATGAGGTGCAGTGGGGGGGGGGGGGGGGGGGGGGGGGGTGGGTGGGCGATGAGGGAAGCAGGAATATGCTGCTACACAAGGCTGCATGCCACCTCGATGCTCCACAGAGAATGCCACCTCGAGGGATGCACCGTGTTGCAGAATGGGCAGCTGCGAGGGATGGAGGTGAGGTGAGATACAAAAAGGCAGGCACGTGTCACACGAGGCTGCATGCCACGTACTGCGTGTTGTGCTGTCACGTGCTCTAAACAGTGGGCCAGATCAGATCAGATAGGATCGGATCCGATCCGTGCGGTTTAGTGAGTGAGGTGAGGTAGTGGCGGCGAGAAGGTGTGCAAGGCGAGGCAAGCAGAGGAATTACCGGAGGGCGTATTGAATAGAATTTGCCATGCGGATAAAGCAGTCTGCATGGGAAGGGGAAAGCGGAGAAAGGCAGGAAAAAAAAAAAAAAAGCAAAGGGGAGACTGAGAAAATGGATGTGAGGGCGCAGGGAAGAGAGGCCGTCATGCGGATAAAGCAGTCTGCGGGGTTGAAGCAGAATCAGCAGACAGGAAATACTAAATGAAGAGCAAGAAGGGGCCGCAAGAAGAGATGAGGGCCTTGCATGCAGCAGCGCACTCAACATGAATTGGGCTTGCTATGAAAGGTCGGCGTGCTACTACCAGCACTCCAGGCATTAGGTTCAGCAGTAGAGAAATTACCCACCGGTGCACAGTCGTTTCTTGCAGCATCGTGACGTGTTGAGGCTGGGGTAGTGCTGCAGCAAAGGAAGGAGGGTGCATGGGACAAACCCAAGCGAACGTTTGGCGTTCTGGCGGAAAAGGTGATATATTTTTTCTAGATATGAATAAACTATTTTTACTGGAAGGTGGACGAAAAAAATCGCGAGTCGTGCAGCGAGGAGTCGTTCAAAGCAGGAACCGATCCGTGCCGCAAAATCGTCATGATTCTTACCAGGAAACAGATGGGGCACTCGTCGAGGTCGTCGCTCGGCTCGTCCCTCCCCGCATATCGCGGCGCGAGTCTCACGGCCATGTCAGCGCGAGAGACGCGACCGCGTAGTAAGTGCGGTGAGAGTGCGTGCGCGAGCGGCGACTGCTTGCGCGAGCCGTGGGTGCTCGAACGAGCCGCGGGTGCGTGGGTGCGGTGAGAGAATGTCGCGGTGCTTGGCGTGCTCGAAAATCCCTACGTGAACCGCGCAGGTCGGAGCTTGCGAATGATAAGGGCAGGATTTTGAAGTGCCTGAATAAGCCTGGCAACGTTTGAGAGACAGAGCAACCCATTCGGAGGAGCTCAGCTTTCTGCTGTGGCCATCATAACTTGAGACGATAGCTCGCTCGCTCGTCATGTCTGGCTGGCATGCCATGCAATCGCATCACTTTCATGCAGCCTTGCATGGCTCAAAATGTCGGACTTGCCATGTTTGTTTTTTTGCCATGCAATTAGGGCGCGTGTGATTTTTTTTGGGGTTCGTATTTAAGGTCGAACTTTAGGTGGTAACCAGTTTCGCCAATGTTCGCAGGAGATTTCGCCAATGGTGACTCCAATTTCAAGAGTACCAGGTGCGAACATACAAATGTGAACAAGATTCGAATATACGCACAAACTTTGTGTAGCACACTGAACCGAACGTGTGTGGTTTCAGGCACGTACGAGGAACCAGCGAAGCTCGCGACTCTTTCGTGCACCAATGGAGGCACTTACGACACCCGTAGCAGAGTCCCCCGCTCAAAGCCCACCACGTGGCATGCGTCGTGGCACGATGACGGTTCGTGAGTGCGTATTATCCGGCGCAGGCGATTTGGCTGTGAAATTTCCGCCTACCAATCTTGAAACAGCCTCAACTATCAACACCCCCAACGTGAAGCCACTCCCACGGTTCAAAGTATGTGCACATTCCACCCTCTCGTAGTCCCGTATGCATTGCTTTTTTTCACAATGTCCGCGTCACAGGACGATGCCCATGGAACCACCGCACCTACCGCTGCTCCCGTTTCTGCAAACGCTGCGGTGCGTCGTCGTCGTGCAACGGTCGACAATACCACTGCTCGCCGCTTAGACGTGATAGATCTCGACCAAGTGATTGCCCGTGTTCCCGCACACAACACCCCGCTCAACGCCAACGACGACTCGCTGGCGTATTTTGACGCCGGAGAAGTTGACTGTGACGTAGAAGACACTGCCGACGAAGATACCGACCCTGCAATGGCGACAGACAGGTCCCGCTGGGAGGCGCACGAGGTTATGCAGCTGGCGTGGATTCGCCACAACTACGACGCGCAGTATCGCGGCCAGACCCGCCTGCAAGGGCAAAACCGGGACGTGATGTTATTCGAGAAGCTGCGGGAGCGCCACCCTGAATTCCGCCACAATCTGGCCGCCGTGAAGGCAAAGGTATTCCGCATGGAGGCGCAATATAGGCGTGTGGGGGATCTACTGCTCAATGCATCAGGCAAGGGCCGCCCCCCGAAGCTGCCCATCTTCTACGATATCTTCGACAGAATTTTGGGCGATCGCGCAAATGCTCGTCCGCCCGCGCTTGCCGGTAGCCTGCCTGGCGCTAATGTCGTGAACTTGCCGTCTACCAGCACCGTCGCAAGTAGGTATGAGTTTGCCGAATGTATGAATGTCAATAAAGTAGTTGCTGCTTAACAATCGTCAATTCACAGCAAAAAACTTTAACCCCTAACAACACTGTTGAGCCGCATTAACCCTTCCCGCTACACCCCCACCCCTTCACATTCGTCATAGATCGTGCCGTGCCTACTCAGCCGGCAACAGCGATTCAAGACGCTGCATCTGCAGCGCCAATTCGGCCGAGGGCAAGGCTTCGCACCCCTTTGCGCCAGCGCACGGCATCATCGCCGAGTGGATCCCCGTCGAACCCGCCGCTAACTCAGCCGCCAGCGTCCCGGGTGTCGGATGACAAGCCCACCGATGCCGCCACAACGGCCTCTCCCGTCCGCTCACACGTCCTCGGTGCGCGCACGGGAGCTTCGCTCCGTGGGCGTGGTGTCAACCGTCGGCCTGGGCCTGCGACTGGAAGCGAAGTCAACACAGGCAATGACCCGGGTGAACATGCCTTGGGAAATATGATGAATGCTAGTGATTCGACATTGTGCAGGGAAATAGCAGGAATAATTGCTCAATCAGTGACAGGTGCCATGCAGGAGCAATTTGCCGCATTCATGGATCGTACCCAAGAGTTGGTTGAGTCTGCTCAGGATGTCCGAGCCTCCAGGAAGCGTAGAGGCACGCCGCCATCCGAGCGCGACGACGTGTCGGAGTAAAGCCTTCGTCCCGCGGCGAGAAGTGCGGCATTTCGGCGGCGGGGCCGTGCTGCCACCAGGTGTTGTGCTCACGCGGAGGGAGAAGGCGAGGACGGGGGCCGAGAAGCAGGTCGATATTATGTAGAACGATGCAGGCAGAGACGTACTGCAGGGCGCGGAAAATGTCGCACTCCAAGCGCCCGTCCAGCATCCGCCAGCGCGTCTTCAGCCTCCCGTTAACCTGTTCGACAATCATCCTGGCGCGGGATTGCTGCAAGTTCCACACGCGCTGCTCGTCCGGGAGTCCGCGCCCTGGCAGCGCCCTGTAGGGGGTAAGGATGTAATCCCGTAGACCATAGGCCGCATCGGAGACGATGGCAAAGTCGTAGATACCGCCCAGTTCAATCTTGTGTCTTGCCGGGCTGTGCTGGAAGACCCGAGCGTCGTTGACACTTCCCGGCCATCCGACGTAGAAGTCGTAGATGTAGCCACTGCAGTCACAGATGAGTTGTGCAATTATGTTGAATGCACCCTTCCTATTCCTAAAATCCTCGCAATGTGGCCCCTGACCACGGTAGTGAACATATGTGCCATCCATGGCACCTACGACACCAGGAATACCCTGTCAGAACATTATAGCTCATGCATACTGTGTAGGCTATAGTGGGGTAGCCCATAAGGGGTACAACCCAATAAGGGTTAGTACTTGTACCAAATTCATTCATAGTTGATTCATTCCTCGTTTCTTCTCATGGTATCGAGCAGGTTCCCCTGTGGGAACTGTTCCTAGGGCCCACCGTTTTTTTTTTTTTTTTTCCTGCCCGGAGCGCACTCAGCCCCTGCCCGAGTCGCGCTCCCCTCTCTCGCGCCGCCCTAGCGGCCCCTTCGCGCCGCCCTCGCGGCCCCCCTTCGAGCCGGCCTCGCGGCTCTATCCGCCGCCCTTCGCGGCCCCTAATCCGCCGCCCTCACGGCCCCGATCCGCCGCCCTCGCGGCCCCGATCCGCCGCCCTCGCGGCCCCGCTCTGCCGCCCTCGCGGCCCCGATCCGCCGCCCTTCGCGGCCCCGATCCGCCGCCCTCGCGGCCCCTGCTCCGCCGCCCTCGCGGCCCCGATCCGCCGCCCTTCGCGGCCCCGATCCGCCGCCCTTCGCGGCCCCGATCCGCCGCCCTCGCGGCCCCTACTCCGCCGCCCTCGCGGCCCCGATTCGCCGCCCTCGCGGCCCCGATCTGCCGCCCTCGCGGCCCCTACTCCGCCGCACTCGCGGCCCCTACTCCGCCGCCCTCGCGGCCCCGATCCGCCGCCCTCGCGGCCCCGATCCGCCGCCCTAGCGGCCTCCGGCCCCTGCTCCTACGGCCCCGGCGCCTGCTCCTACGGCCCCCGCTCCTACTCCTACGAGCAGCCCACCCGCCGAGCCGCCCAGCAACCGAGCAGCCCAGCCGCTGAGCCGCCGAGCCGCCCAGCAACCGAGCCGCCCAGCCGCCGAGCCGCCCAGCAGCCGAGCCGCCCAGCAGCCGAGCCGCCGAGCCGCCCAGCAGCCGAGCCGCCCAGCCGTCGAGTCGCCGAGCCGCCCTGCAGCCGAGCCGCCCGAACCGCCCTGTCCGGTAAGAGCAGCGCCTCTCTCACAGCACTGCCCTCACCCTACTGTTTGCACTGCTAGTCTACTGCTGTCATGGCTACCCCTAGTGTCCTCGCTTTTGACGCTGAGGGTCGGGCCATTGACTTTGACGTCTGGATAGATGACCTGCAGCTTTTCTTACAGTGCGACAGAGCAGACGGCCTCTCCCTCTTTGACCTCACTTCTGGTGCCTCTCCTGCCCCCGCTGCTGATGCTGACGCCACTGTTCGCTCACAGTGGGCCACGCGCGATGCTGCTGCACGTCTTGCTGTGCGTCGCCACCTACCTACCTCTGAGCGTGCGCACTTTAGCCAGTACAAGAGTGCTCAGACCTTGTACGACGCTGTAGTTGCACGCTACTCCTCCCCTGCCACTGCTGCACTGAGCCGCCTCATGCTACCGTACCTCTTCCCTGACCTTGCTGCCTTTCCCACAGTCGCTGACCTCATTACGCACCTCCGCACTAGTGACACTCGCTACCGCGCTGCGCTTCCTGCTGAGTTCTGCGCCAAGAACCCCCCCCCCATGTACATCACCCTCTACTACATAGTCACCCGTCTCCCTGACTCCCTTCGCGTAGTCAGGGACCACTTCCTCTCGGTTTGTCCCACCACTCTCACCGTTGACCTCCTCGAGAAGGCCCTCCTAGCAGCAGAAAAGAGCATAGTCGCTGTAGGAGCCTCTCGTGGTGACCCTCGCACCCCCATCTTTGAGGGGTGTTCCCCCTCCCCTCTTTTGCCCTCTGTTGCCTCTGCTGCTGCGGCCGACCTCGCTGGTTTGGAGTCGGTTGGGGCAGCGTCTACCCCTAGCGGGAGACGCCGCCCTGGCAGGGGCAAGGGGGGCAGGGGCGCTGGAGGAGCTAGCGGGGGCGGTGGAGGAGGCGGTGGAGGCGGTGGAGGAGGTGGGGGTGGCGGTGGGGGTGGTGGCGGGGGTGGAGGTGTAGGTGGCGGCAGTGGAGGCGCAGGCGGCAGCGGCGGTGGCGGAGGGAGCGGAGGTGGCGGCGGTGGAGGAGGAGGCGGCGGAGGAGGTGGAGCTGGTCGGGGTGGCGCTGCGCAGAGGGTCAGCTCCGGTGGTGGTCAGCGCCAGCAGCAGCAGCGCACTCGTGACGTCCCCTCCCCTCAGCAGCTCCGTGAGTGGTACACTGCACGCCAGAGGGGTTGGGGTACTGGTCCGTGCACCTACGTCCTGCGCACCGGCGACCGCGCGGGTGAGCAGTGCGGGGGTGCGCACTCCACCCAGCGCTGCTTTGGCCGCCTGACGGACGCTTGGCGTCACCAGTTCCCTGAGGCCACTGAGATCCCCCGCTGGGGTGAGCTGTCTAGGGCGGGTGTGGCTTTCTTTGACCTTGACTTTGATGCTATTCTTGCTGCCATGTATACTGTGACTATTAGTGATGAGGGTGACTGTTACCGGTGTTTTCCGCCCGACCCGGGCATTGAGACTGCTGCTCTAGGTCCTGGTGAGGCTGCTGCTCTAGGTGCTAGCGAGGCTGCTGCTCTAGGTGCGTCTGCTCCCTCAGGTACTGGTGAGTCTGCTCTCTCAGGTTCTGCGTCGGCTTCGGCCTCCCACACCTTTACCCTTGACTCGGGGGCTTCTCGCTCCTTCTTTCGAGACCGCACCACACTCACGCCGCTTGACCGGCCAGTTGCGGTCTCTCTGGCAGACCCCTCTGGGGGTCCTGTCCTTGCTCACTTCTCCACTGTCCTCCCGTGTCCGGCGGCCCCCTCTGGCACCCTGTCTGGTCTTTACCTCCCCTCGTTCTCTACGAACTTGGTGAGTGGTGCTGACCTACAGGATGCGGGGGTTCACCAGTTCACTCCTGCGAGTCAGCGGGTGACCCACTGCACGGACGCTCGGACAGGCCGACACCTGGCCACGTTTACACGTCGGCCGGGGTCGAGCCTGTACACACTGACCACTGCGTCTCCTCCGGTCCTTGCGTCTGGTCAGGTAGCTGCGTCGGGTCAGGTGTTTGCTGCAGCGTCCAGGTCTGGTCCTGAGTCTGCCCCCTGCTCGTGTCGCCTCCTGTCTCACGAGACTCTCCTCTGGCACCACCGCCTTGGTCACCCCTCCCTGCTTCGTCTCCGGAGCATGGCCTCCCGTGTCCTTGTCTCTGGTCTTCCCCGGTCCCTCCCTCCACTTCCTCCGGGGCCTGGCCCTACCTGCGTCCCCTGTGTCGAGGGACGACAGCGGGCTACCCCTCACTCCTCCCAGTTTCCTCCGACAGAGGCCCCGCTGCAGACGCTTCACATGGACGTGTGGGGCCCGGCCCGCGTCCGTGGACAGGGTCACGAGCACTACTTCCTGCTGGTGGTTGACGACTACTCGCGTTACACCACAGTCTTCCCCTTGCGCAGCAAGGGTGATATCACTGAGGTGTTGATCGACTGGATCCGCGCAGCTCGTCTCCAGCTCAGGCGGAGCTTCGGCTCGGACTTTCCTGTTCTGCGTCTGCACTCTGACAGAGGCGGAGAGTTCTCCTCTGGCCTTCTGCGAGCCTACTGTCGTGCACGAGGCATCCGCCAGACCTTCACGCATCCGGACTCTCCACAGCAAAATGGGATTGCTGAGCGCCGCATTGGCATGGTCATGGACGTCGCCCGTACGTCCATGATGCATGCGGCTGCCCCCCATTTTCTGTGGCCGTTTGCGGTTCGGTACGCGGCGCATCAGATCAACCTTCAGCCCAGGGTCTCCATGCCGGAGACCTCCCCAGCCTTGCTGTGGACGGGGAAGGTTGGCGATGCGTCTGCGTTCCGTGTCTGGGGATCTCGGGCGTTTGTCCGCGACTTGTCTGCGGACAAGCTGTCCCCTCGTGCTGCTCCTTGCGTCTTCCTGGGTTTCCCCCCTGACGCCCCAGGGTGGCAGTTCTACCACCCCACCTCTCGCCGTGTTCTGTCCTCCCAGGACGTCACGTTCGACGAGTCGGTCCCCTACTACCGCCTCTTCCCCTACCGCACTCCGTCCCTCCCCCCGCCACCGCTCTTCCTGGTATCCGGTCCCCCCCCGGTA